ATTTTTATTAAATTCTCCATGATTAAGTCAACTCTCTGAAATTTTCTCGGATTTTTCGGAGCTCAATTCCTAAATGATACAAAGAACAGTTCAGTAATTATTTGATCAATAATGATCTAATTATAATTGTTAAGAGCTTTTCTTGTTTAAAATTCTTTAAATTATAAATTGTTGTTTAAAAGGAATTATTAGAAATGATTTTGAAAGCCTAGAAGAGAAGATCTAATTTTAATTTGTTAAATCTCAATATAAAATTGGGCTAGATAAAATTTTGTTAAATACTTTGCTTAATTCTATAATTCCTAGAATTTTTCTGGGATTTATTTGAGCTAAGGACGTATTTTTTTAATAAATGGAATTGCATTTCATGAATAATTTAAATTGAAAAAGGTTTTCAAAAGTCTCTTTTGGCTTTGGGCCGAAAGTCGGCCCAAAACCTCTCTCTTTCTCTCTCCCTCCCCGGCCCAGTCGGCCCAGTCCGCCGTCGCCTCCTTTTCTCTCTCGGTGCCGCTGACAGGTGGGTCCCGTCTGTCGGATCCGTCTTCCTCCTCGCGCCGCCGCCGCCCGAAACCCTAGCACCGCGCCGCCATCGTCTCCTTCCAAATCCGGCCGCGTCTTTCCTTCTCCGGTGAAATCGATAGAGGGGAAATGATCTCCGGGATCTCCTCTACCTTTTCTCTTTTGGAATCATCGGCTAATTTCGTTTGGAAATTCGTGGATTCGAGTTCGATTCGGATCGGCCTCTTTCCTCCGAATCCCCGATCTTTCCTTCTCGTCGCCGGTAGCCGTGGGCCTTCGCCGCCGCTCCTTAACCCCTATAAAAGGATCCCCGGTGTCCCCTCTACCCGCCGCCACCCTCGCCTTCGTCTCTCGTCGTCGGAAGCGCTCTAGCGCCGTGTAACCTAGCGCCGCCGTCGTAGCCGCCGCTCCAGCCGTGCTTCGCCGTTGCTCCAGTCGTCGCCGTCGCTCGGGAAGACCGCCATCGTGGTCGCCGTCGCGTCGCCGTCCTCGTCCGCCCCTTCGCCGCCGCTGTAGACCGCCGGAGCACCGCCGTCGTCGTCAAGCCGAAGATCGCCGCCGCTTCTTCCTCGTCGCCGGCGCCGTCCGTTACTCTTCCGCCGTCGTTTTGGTCACCGGTGAGTTCGCCGCGTCGCCCTCTACCCGTTGGTGTCCTCCGTTCGTGCCGAAGCGCCGTCGATCGCCGGCGAGCATGCGCGCCCGAGCCGCCGAGCCGCCGCCGGAGATGACGTCATCGCTGACGTAGCCGCTGACGTCATCGGGACCGTCTGCCGTGAGCCGGTCGTGGACCGATCGATCTCGGCCGTCCGTTTTGGATAGGATCGATCTCGGCCGTTCGTTCCCGTGAACCGTTGCCGTGCACCCGGTCCACCGCTAACCCTAGCCGCTGACGCAATAATCCTCCTTTTCCTTTTCAAAAATAATTCATTATTGCGTCATAATTCAATTAAAATCAATATAAGTGTTTTAATCCGATTTAATCTTTAAAAATTCATAACTAATTCATTGTAACTCAGTTTAATGTGGTTCAAGTTGCAAAAGTTGTATAAAATAAAGATCTACATATTAAAATTGTCCATAAATTGAATTAAATTTATTTAATTCTTTTTAAATGGGCTTTAATTAGATTTAATCTTGTAAAATTCATAATAAATTCATTTGAAGTCAGAATGAGGCCGTTCAAGTCTCATAATTCATCTAAAATTATGATCTACATGTTTGTTTACTTTTTATGTTTTGTTTATTTGGTTTTTATTAGTCTTTTCCTTGTTTTGCGTGTTAGCTTGTCGTTTCCGTCGTTGCGAAGGTTCGCGAGTGCGCCGGAAGTGTTCAAGAAGATTAATTGAAGACCGATTATTGCAAGGCAAGTCACACAGATCCTAAACACAATCCTTTGAGCATGTTGATCCTATATTTAAATTCTCTATTTATTTCAACTGTGCATTTATTTTCGAATGTCACTGGGTGGTGTGAATCTATTCCTTTGTTATGGCCTGTTTGCATTGATTACTTTATTCCTTGATACCTTGGGTTATTATAACTTTACTAGTTGAGCTTTATATATTGGTTCAGCTAGATATTAGATGTAATTGCTTAGCCATGCTTAGAAACATTAGCACATTATTAGGATAACTTATGACTTATTATTTAATGAGGGCTTAATGATTGTTCACGATGGTCAATCGTGATTGGTTAATTAATTATTTGCCCACTAAAACTTGATAATGGTGGGTTGTGAGCACATGGTTTTGAGAGTCGTGCTCATGACAATTAAGGACCGGTTCGCGAGCTACTATTGTGAAACATTAACCGTGCCAACCACAAGCCAGCGTGGGCAACGGCTTTACCTTTTGTATAACATGGTTCATTGCGGGGCACCAGACTGAGAAGTGGCGGAGATAAGCCCACGGGGGTCGCTGGGGAGTCCATGCCTCTGGTTTTTGAGGGGGTGATTATGATCCAGGAATGGTGCACTGTGGTGGGTTGTGTTATGCGAGGGGTAATGTCACAGCTCCTTTCTGAGATACCGTGGTGGTATTGAGGCACATGGTGACATGATGTGGAGCTGTGTCTTGTGGGTACAGTGGTACACCTCTGGCCAGAGTAAAACTATTCGAATAGCCGTGCCCGCGGTTATGAGCGGGTTGAGCAATGTTTTTCGTGATTAGTCTCACACCTCTCACAATAATTATGGATGTTATACCTGGTAATAATTTGCTTAGCTCCTGGTTTGGAGTTAGATCTGTACAGCCGGGTATGGTTGTTCAGGATGGTTGGGCCTGTGCAGCATGGGTGTGCTGTTCAGTGTTGATTAAAATTTCTGATTAATTACTCCACTGTTTTACTTCTCATAAATGTTTTGCTAAATGCTGCTTTTGCAAATGAGCCTATATTATGCCATCCTTTGGTATCCTTGCGCACTTGCATATTTGCTGTGTGGCTTGCTGAGTATGTCATATGCTCACCTTGCAATAATCAATCAACCTCAGTTGAAGAAAAAAGATCCAGAAGGAGAAGACGTTTGGCTTATACCCCAGTTGAGCTGCCTGTGGGAGTGGAGCCGGAGCTTCGCTAGATTTTATTTTCCGCTGCAGTTTTCTTCATGATGAGGACTAAGTGCCTCATAAGTAAGTATTTATCGTTTTAGTTAATTTGATGAATCTGTATATTAAATTGTCAGTTTGTGTACCTCGGCTGATTCCTGGACGAGGATTTTATGCACAAATAAGTTCGGAAATTGCTAGTGAATTTCCGAGCGTGACAGGGGGAGAGCGGTGGCGGTGGCCGGAGCTAGAGAGCGAGGGAAGGGGGCGGCGGTGGTGGTCGGAGCCGGGGCGCCGGTGGCTGGAGCTAGAGAGCGAAGGGATGGGGCGGCAGTGGTGGCCGGAGCCAGAGAGCCGAGGGAGGGAGCGGCGGCGGTGGCCGGAGCGGCGGGGGAGGGGGCGGCGACGGTGGCCGGAGCCGGGGGAGGAAGCGGCGGCGGTGGCCGGAGCCGGAGGAGGGAGCAACAACGGTGGCCGGAGCTAGGGGAGGGAGGGGCAACGGTGGTGGTAGCCGGATCCAGGGGATGGGAGGGGGTGGTGGTGGTGCATCGCCGGAGCCGGAGGAGGGAGCGGCGGTGGTGGCCGGAGCTAGGGAGGAAGGGGCGCTGGGGCGGCAGTGGTCGTCGGCGTCGATGTCGGGTGTGTATCGCGTGATACCTGGCTGGTATCGCGTGATTCCTGATAGGTATCACCTGTTACATCACAAGTATCATCTAATAGGTATCGCGTGATACCTGATAGGTATCACCCGATACCTCACAAGTATCACCTTATATGTGGCAAGAATCGCATGATACCTGATAGGTATCACCTGATACGTCGCGAGTATCACCTGAAAACGTGGTAGAATCGCCTGATACCTGATATGTATCACCCGATACCAGACCTGATACCTAACCAGTATCATCCCGTTCGAAAACGGAAATCCGTTATATAGCAGCCCCCTTGATTTATGGTGTTTGGTTGTGGAGATCCATGTTGATCTATTTTCTTTTATGCTGTAGATTTGTGATGGATTCGTTAAATGCAAGTAGCAACAGTGCAGGTAATCCCATGTGGAGTTCCATGGTGTTTGTCTGTTACTTTTTTTTTCCTGGAATATTTGTTGTGCAAATCTGAAGTTACAGATGAACATCTACACCATAGGTTGTGTTCATGATGTACCATTGGGACTTAACAATTGGATTTGATATGATTGTGCTTTGTGATGTATTGTTGATTGTTGAGACTTAAGAATTGGAATTGACAAAGTTTGAGGGGTTTTTTATTCCAATAAATTGTTCGTTACCGTATCCACGCAGGTTTGTTTTTGCTCTGTTTTCAGTTCCGATAATATTTGATTCCGTTTTCATAACTAGGGTTTCTGATTCCGAAAAAATAAAAACGAAAACGATAAAGGTGGTTTCCGTCCGTTCCCATACCATTTTCATCCCTATATATGAGTACGCTAGTCTCCAAAACCTACCGTCCACTTCCGTGCCGTTTGCATGGTTAGCCCACCGGTTAAACTATAAAAAAACCATAACGTTCATAATATTTACTCAAGTACTCCATCAGAAAACTGCATGGTACAATTCCAATATGTAAATATTTGAATGAAGTCACTAGATCTGCCACAACTTTTTATTTCTGCTTTGCAACCCCTTAGAAAATTATGGTTGCTCATATGCTCCGATCTTTTCTGATTAAGAGGTTTACATCAGCATAATTTTTAAACAGTTAAATGATACATTTTGTACGATAAGAAGTTGCTTTAAAATATCCAATAAATTTATTATTAAAATTTAAAATAACTAAAATTTAATTAATCATACGACAGTGAATTTCTCATTTTCGTTGTCGAAGGCAATAGTCAACCAAGATGATCACAAAGATAGCAACTCGACGAAGACCAGGAATACGTCTATGTCTCCCTACCCCAATTGGCCGACCACTCTCCCTCTCCATTTATTTCCCAACCAAATCCACGCAAAACTCTATCCAATTCAATGCCGACGAGTTCTTCTCCCCGATACTATCCAATGCCGAGGAGTCAACCCCACAACCGTCAACTCCAGCTCGGCTTCTCCTCCTCCTCCTCCTCCTCCCGCGGCGTCGACGACGACGGCGAATGGCCCAGCGCCGCCAAGGATCGCAGCGCCAAGAACAAGGTACAGTGATGGCTTCATTTCGTTGGCGATTTGTTCTTGCCCACAGGATGTTCGACGGATTGCTCACGAGGGTTCTTGGTGCTGTGTTTATTTAGCTTGGTGGGTTGCGGAGGGTGCTCGGGACTGGTGCGGCGAGGGGTCCGACGATGGGGAGGAGGGCGAGGAGGAGGAGGAGGACGGGGTGCTGTCGGCGTTCCTGTGCCCGATCACCATGGAGGTGATGCGGGACCCGGTGGTGGTGGAGACGGGCCACGCGTTCGAGCGGGAGGCGATCGCGCGGTGGTTCTCGGAGTGCGCCTCGCTCGGCGCGGCGCCGCGGTGCCCCGTCACGATGGAGGTGGTCGACGGCGCGGACGTGAAGCCCGTCGTGGCGCTGCGGGCGGCCATCGAGGAGTGGACGAGCAGGCGGGAGACGGCGGCGCTCCGGAGGGCGTGCCGGTGGCTCACCAAGGCCGCCTCGGAGAAGGAGGCGCTGCGCGGGCTCGACGCCGTGATGCGCGGGTGGAAGCTTGCGAGGGTCGGCAAGCGCGTCGTGCGCCGCGACGGGATGGTGCCCATGGTGGCCGCCATGCTGAGGAACGGCAGCGCAAGGGTGCGTCTCAAAGCGTTGCAAGCCCTTCGGGAGTTTGCAAGAGAGGACGATGAATACAGGGTAAGCAGAGGGACGATGCAACGGAATGGATTTTTATGTCTTGGTACTACATAGCACTAACTCGGAAATTCATGGTTTTGTTCTCTTTTTTTTTAGGATTCTGTATCTGAAGGGGACACAATTCGCAGGATTGTTAAGTTCATCGATTTCGAGGATTGCCAGGAGAGGGAGTTGGCTGTATCTCTTCTGTGTGAGCTGTCGAAATCTGAAATGGTATGCGAAAAGATAAGCGAATTGAATGGAGCGATACTTATCTTGGGCAAGGTGGCATGTAGCAAATCACAGAATCCAGCGTTAGCCGAGGAGGCTGAGATGACGCTTGAGAATCTGGAGAAATGCGAGAAAAATGTCCTGCAAATGGCTGAAAATGGAAGACTGGAACCTCTACTAAACCTGCTTATTGAAGGTGCTGTCTCCAGTCTGTTCGTTCTTCATTTAATGGTTCACCAATTATACTCAGTATCTACTTATCTTTCTGTTATTTGTTGTTTTCGATGGTTTCATGATAAGTTAGCATTCGATATCATTTGCACTGTGCTGAAGTAAACTCTGCTTTTGCTCAAGTGTCAATATAGTTTTTCTAATCAATAGACAAACAATATCATAGTGTTCTTATTTCTACTTTATTGGAAATATTAAGTTCTTACCATGTAGGACATACTGCACTTTTCAGGTTCTCCAGAAAAGCAGTTGCGGATAGCATCATCTCTAGAAAAGATTGTTCTGTCTAACGACTTGAAAAACTTGGTGGCCCAAAGAGTGGGTTTACTGTTTGCTGGTGTTGTTGAAAATGGTACCTTGCCGGCAAAAGAAGTTGCTTTCAAGGTGTTAGATCATATATCCACCAATACAGAAAGTGCCAAGGTTCTTATAGAGGATGGAATCCTTTTACCGCTTTTCCGAGTTCTCTCTGTTGATGGTGTCAAATTCCTTCCACCAAGGCTGCAAGAGGCCGCTGCAGCAGTTCTATCTAATCTGGTAGCTTGTGGTATTGACTTTGGGACAGTCCCACTGGATGGTAATCGTACTATAGTGTCTGAAGACATTGTTCACAGCTTACTTCATTTGATTAGTAACACCTCTCCGCCAATACAGTGCAAGCTTCTTGAAATATTTGTAATGCTAAGTAGTTCTACCACAACAGTTCTGTCAATTATCTCAGCTATAAGATCATCTGGGGCTATCACAAACTTGGTACAATTTGTAGAGAGTGATCATCAGGAGAGCCGTGCTGCTTCCATAAAGCTGCTGTGCAAAATCTCATTTGACATGGACCATGAGATAGCACAAGTCCTCCGAAGTAGTCCTACATTGCTTGGATGCTTAGTTAGGATTGTCAGTGAAAATGATGCAAATGCAGATGAGCAAGATGCTGCACTTCAGATTCTGGCAAATCTTCCTAAAAGGGACAGACGTCTTACCATGGAGCTCATGGAGCAAGGGGCTTTCAAATATATTGCGCGCAAAGTTTTAAACATATGTAGAAGAGGAACTGCCAATAACATAGTTGATAACACGATGCTTGAAGGGCTTGTAAAAGTTCTGGCAAGGATAACGTACATTCTACGGGAGGAGCCACGCTGTGTTGCCCTTGCTCGTGAATACAATCTTGCTTCACTGTTTACCAGCTTGCTTCGGCTGAATGGGCTGGATGGTGTGCAGCTGCTCTCTGCAAAGGCATTAGTGAATCTCTCTGTTGAATCAAGATATATGACTGGCACACCAAATTTCGATGAACATGAACAGAAGTCTGGGCTTACCTGGTTTGGTAAGAAACCACCAGGTATTCAACTTTGTCGTGTTCACTCTGGAATCTGCTCGATTAGAGACAATTTTTGTATTCTTGAAGGGAAGGCAGTGGAGCGATTGGTTGTTTGTCTTAGCCATCAAAACAAGAAGGTCGTTGAAGCCTCTTTGGCTGCACTTTGCACCCTACTTGGGGATGGCGTGGAGATCACTGAAGGTGTTTCGGTGCTCTATATGGCCAATGCGGTTGAACCAATATTTGAAATCTTGAAGGGAAACCCAACAGGCACACTTCAGCAGAGGGTGACATGGGCTGTCGAGAGGATTTTGCGGGCAGAGAACATTGCAAAAGCAGCTTCAAGCGACCGTGGCTTGAGTTCTGCCCTTGTTCATGCTTTCCAGAATGGGGATTCCAGAACACGACGTATCGCAGAGGCATCACTGAAGCACATTAACAAGTTGCCAACTTTCTCCCAAATCATTGATAAGCATCCCTCGAGACGAGGTTCGTCAATTGGAAGCATGGAGCGTTACTTTAGGTCTGATCGCTAGGCTATGAAATTGTGAAGTAACCGAATGCCATGACCTGCCTATGCCTTATGGACAAGGAATTTTTTTGCCATTTCAAGTTAATTTTGTTGATTTGCTAACGTTTGGAATTAGGGATTTTAGTTTTTGTGTCAGAAAAAAATAGTAGTTAGGCATTGATAGTCTTGGTAATGTGCATATTGTTCTGTACTTGTAATAAATTTTGTAGATCATGTGTATATATTGTTTTCTGTACTTCTAATTTTGATAATCTGCAAGTCTAATGAAGGCAAATCTTATGTGAGAATGGAAGTCACTGAAGTTTTTTTTGGTAAAGTCACTGAAGTGCATCCAGGTACTCTTCTCGAGCATAAAAATTGAGCAGGTTTGAGTGATGTTTGCTTCATAAATTTTGCTCTACAGAACTCATCTTAAGAAGAAATTTTATGGAATGACAGATCGCATCATCTTTTATGCCTCAACATCTTTTCGGAGTTTCTGATTACTGATAGCATACGTTAGAAACAGCTAGGACTGATTTATACATCAAGATTTATAACTTCACAAGAAATTGTCATGAAAAGTTTCGAAATATTCCGTGACATTAGTTACGTTTTCAAAAGCTAATTAATTTTGCAGTCCTAGCTTCAAAAGCTAAATGAGTGCCACAAAGCCTAGGATATTTGCGTGCCACAAAGCTTCAACGATCTTCTTCCTATCTCGAGAGCAACTCTCGTGGCTGTGAAATCAACACACCCAAACCTTGACTTAAAATCCTAGAAACTGGCCCGCCCGGTGGAAAAAAAAAACTTAAGAATTTCATTCCCTTGGAGGTTTATTTTAGAGAAAATGGTCATATGGCCCTGCTTTTGTGAAGGTACGAGTCGCCTCTATCCACAAGATGTATACGAACTTATTACACCGAAATGAAGGCCAAAATAGGCTACTTATAAGTCCTAAACACACGCCTCCAATACATTAGCTAAGAAAGATGGTATTTTCTAGAGCAACAAGCTTCATCCAAAATAATTATTAAATAACTAATACTGGATAGAAACCACCCTAATAAGTAGAGTAAGTATTCACTAGAAAATTGGCGTGCCATCTAGCGCGCCTTCTAGTTAGCCCATTTGTGTAACTGAGAAAATTAAATATTTAAACCCTAGTAGATAATTATAAATCCATTGTTTTTGTCAAATTGTTTAGGGCATGATAGAAATTTGAGAACACGCAAAGGCATGGATCAGCTTATAGAGCACACAACCGTCTGTGTAAATTGCAAGACTATCATTCTATTTCGATTTCTATATTGATTTGTAATTAAATTTCGTTTGTATTGTCATTTGGATTTTTTTTCATTATTTATTCTAGTAACAATTTTGTATCGACAAATCTTTTCGGTTGGTTCAATTATCTGCATACCAATATATACCAATACCTAATAATGCCAAAGCTCATAGAGCACACCATCATCTATCAAAATTATATAAAAAGTGACTTTATATATTGATTTGCAATTTAATTTCTTTTGTATGGTCATTTGATTTGGTTTTTTCTTCGATGAGTAGCCCCTTTCTTCACCAATAAATATTTCCCGTTGGTTCAATTAACTACTCTATTGTAATGTTACAATTTTGAGGGAAATAAAAGTCACCTGATGTTTTCTTTAATGCCAAAATTTTACGGTGTGGGTGCATGACTCTATCTACCAGGATTTAAATCCTAGTGCCATGAATATTACACATATGTAGGTGGGCTTTCAACAGGATTTTAGTGAGATCAGGGATGTGCCGTTGATTTCCATCTCTTAGAATATGTGTTAGGATGTGCCGTTGGTTTCCATCTATTAGAGTATGTGTTAGGTGACGCATTCATGAGGGTGTAGGTGTGGTTTTACGTCTGTAGTGGTGTATGTGCGTCTGTGTCTGTCATGTAATTTAAAAAAAATATGTTGGGATTTGTGACTAGTAAATCTAGCAGTGTGGAGGCCTCTCTATATATGGTGCTTAAATCTTTTTTTTTTGCTGTTTTTTTTTAGAAATGGCTCCTCGGTTTGCTATCCATTTGTACATTTTTTAAAAAAATGTATTGCGGGCACAAGCACGAGTGTGTGGAGGCGAGTCGTACGTTCTGCGTGTTGGCCGGTGGAAACTAAATCCGTGAATCTGTAAGTGCCACGTGTCAGGGTTAACCGTTCGTGAATTGGCTCAGAATTGGGTATAAGAGATATCATCAAAATGCTGGTACGGAAGAAAACCCGCCTAGTTGATTTCTAGAAGACATTATTGCCAATGATGTCTCTCAGACTCCTTCCGGGCATAGTTATTGGGACCAGACTGATAATTAAACCGGCGATGCTCTCGGTTCGATGGTTTATTGGTTCAATCGGTTGAACTACTGGTTTAAAGCGGTTCGATATAGGTTAAATATATAATTTATTCCTTCTAAACACAAGTTTTTGAATCCCACTAGCGCACCATTTTCTCTTTCCAACTGTCCACCGGACGCACGTGACCACCTTGCACAAGGCAACCGGGCGGTTCATCTCCGGTTTTCTTCCCGGTTTTCTACAAAACCTGGCGGCCCAATTGCATAGCCGGTCTTTTAACTGGACCAGACCAGCGGAGGCTCTGGTTCCAGTTTTTTCCAGTCCAACCACCGGTCCGGTCCGGTTCTAATAACTATGCTTCGGGGCTATCCATCGGATCGTTTGTATCTCCCTGTACCTCCCATGCCCGTTGAGTTTGGCTATCTTAGGGCCTGTTTAGTTCGCGAAATGAAAATTTTTGGGTGTCACATCGGACGTTTAACCGGATGTCGGAAGGGGTTTTCGGACACGAATAAAAAAACTAATTTCATAACTCGCCTGGACACCGCGAGATGAATCTTTTGAGCCTAATTAATCCGCCATTAGTACATGTGGGTTACTGTAGCACTTATGGCTAATCATGGACTAATTAGGCTCAAAATATTTGCCTCGCGATTTCCCCCTAACCGTGCAATTAGTTTTTCTTTTAATCTACATTTAATACTCCATGCATGTGTCAAGAAATTTGATGTGATGTTTTTGGAAAAAACTTTTTGGGAACTAAACGGGGCCTTAGCTAGTGCAAAGAGAGAGAGAGAGAAGAAGAAACACAAGTGCACAACTCCAAACATCTCTTTTGTGACATGAATTTTACTAGCGACTGATGGGAGGATATGGCAAGGAAGGACTATAAATAAAGAGGGATGATGAGACTAGTTAGGACGTTGTGTAAATTCAGGTGGTTGGATACATATATGAATAAAGGTTATTGGCATCATATCCTATGTCTCAATTTGTTTTTTTAGTTTTTAATTATGTATTGAATATATCATAAACACATAGTGTTGGAATATAAAGAGAATTGTCCGCCTTTTCTCATTAACTTAAGCTTTTGGATTGAACTGGTTGGTGCATGCAACTTAATATGGTATCAGAGTTAGAGGTCTCGAGTTTAAATCTTGGCTGGTGCACAATTAAATAAAAATTGCAACCCACTTCTATTACACGCTAGAGGCTTGAGGGGGCCTCGCGTGAGGGGGAATGGTGGAATATAAAGGGAATTTCCCACCTTTTCTCATCAGCTTAAGTTTTTGGGTTAAACTGGTCAGTGCATGCAATGCAATATACCTAGCACCAATTTGTACGTCAAGATTTAAAACTACAGGAAATTCTCGTGAAATATTTTGTGATTATGTTCTCTATAGCTAATTACTTTGCAGGAAATATTTGTTGTTGCACAAGCTAGTCTGGGCTGAAAAGCAAAGAATATTTGTTTGACATGCCAGAAAGCCTTCAACGATCTTCTCCTGAGATATCTCACGATTACAAGAGCAACTCTAGTCGAGGCTGTGAAATCAACAACCTTGAATTATAATCCTAGGAACTGTTCCCAGTGAAAAAGAGTCTTAGGAGTTTCATACCTTCGAAATACTTTTAGAGAAAAGGACAAAGGACCCTGTTTTTATAGAAAGCAAGAGAAGTTGCTGCTGGGATACAAGCCTACAAAATACGAATCTTACATAGAGATGAAGGCCAAAATAGACAACTTTAAAGCCTTGAACACACCTTGAAAACATAATCTAAGAAAAATGACTTTTCTAGACCATTAAGCTTCAGCTAAAATTATTACCGAAGAACTAATAGTGGACAGAAGCCACCCTGAACGTTCACTACTAGAGAACCGATCTTTGTTCGCTCGGCCAAAATCCTAAATATCTTGGTTCTCTTATGAACCGGTACTACGGCTAGTTAGGATCTCTAGTACAGGTTGGTAACACCAACCAGTACTAAAGATCATTTTTAGTCCCAATTTACTTTTTATCAGGCCGCTGGGGATCTTGGTACCGATTGCTGTCACCAACCGGTATTAAAGATTATGGCCGTTATATTGTCTTCTTCATCCTCTAGCCCGAGCTATTGCTTCAAAAATTTTCAAATGATACCTATCTAAGAAGTACAACTGAGAATGACTGCACCCTGACCACAATATTATCTTTGTAACAAACCACCTGTTAGATGAAAACAACATCCCATTTTGAAAATTTCAGGATAGATACCAATTGGTGAAAACTGCATTTTGAGAATTTGATTTTTTATTCACAAATTTAAGTATAAGTATTTTGAGAGTACTACTTGTTCTATCAACCACCTTCTATTTAAATATCTTTTCATCTTTACCCCAGCCCCCAGCCCCATCCCATATTTAGACCTTGTTTAGTTCCCAAATTTTTTTTTCCCAAAAATATCACATCGAATATTTTGTATGGAAATCATGAGACGAATATTTTGAGCCTAATTAGTCCATAATTAGCCACAAGTACTACAGTAACCCATATGTGCTAATGATGGATTAATTAGGCTTAATAAATTCGTCTCGCGGTTTCTAGGCGAGTTATGAAATTAGTTTTTTCATTCGTGTCCGAAAACCCCTTCTGACATCCGGTTAAGCGTCCGATGTAACACCCAAAAATTTTCTTTTCACGAAAAAGACATCAAAGTCTTAGGCTGAGTTCAAACTCCACCTCCCGTACGAAAAACAGTGTTACCTATTAACGCATGATTTTAAGTATTAGCCTTAAAAACTTGAAAATGGATTAATATAATTTTTTTAAAGCCAATTTATTTTTTGCAAAAGACACACTGTTTAGTAGTTTGCGGTTTGAAAAACGTGCGCGTGAAGAAAAATGAGAGGTGAGTTGAGAAAGAAGGGAATAACACAACCTTAATATTAAATAATGAAGCCATTCTTCTCGAGTCGGTTTTGACCACAAGGAAACTTTTGCGG